TGAGTTTCCATTTGATTTAGTATTGCTGGAGCTTCCTTTTGAGATCTGGAATTGAGTTTCCATTTGATTTAGTATTGAGAAGGCCTGGTTGTCTTTTTTGGGGGGTGGGGCCGATGGACCGCACTAATTAGGGGGGGGTTTATTAATTGGGTGTGTAAGGGGCTAATGTGGGGTACCCTTTGAAACCTTCTAAACTTGATTTTTTTAGCAAAGGATTTAATAAGAAATCGACCATCTCAGAACACTTTTTGTTTTGTGGTTTGGGCAGGCCCAAAAGCATCCACCAAGCTTCAAGATGAGAGTAGGAGGTGGAGATGAGAGCCCTAAGCAAAACAGCAGCAGGAAGAGAAAGGTACCAGAAGAAAGCACGAGCCCATTTGAGCCAAAGCACCTTGTCAGGACACCATCCAGAGAAAGCATGGCAAGCAGCATGAGTCCACAATCTTCAACAAGCAGTGGAGAAAATGAGATAGCAGCAGCCATCTGGGGGAGGGACCAGTCTAATTGGGGGGGGTTGTTTTGGATTCTTTTTTATTGAGGGGGGTTTTTCTGAGATATGAATTGTTTAGTATTGGGGGGGTCTGGGTGGACCGGATTAATAGGGGGGGGATTACTAATACACTGTCAACATTACAGCCGAAGCCCTTATTGTAAAACAAGGAGCCCCAACGGATCCCTGAGCACGCTGCAGTAGCAGGCATTGGCTGAGCCCCTCAGCAGGAGCCTTGGCTGAACATGAATTCCAAAACGGGCAGCCCCCTGGCAGGACACCACCTGATACTCCTTTGATGTTGGTTGCCCTTTGAACATACCGCAGAAAAAAGTTCTCAATCTTCAGGCACCCTGGACAATCCCCCATTCGCAAAGCCATCTCCAAGCAGGTTGAGTCTCGTTTCCCACTTGAACAATCCAAGGCAAGGAACAGTCAAAGTCGGTGGCCAGATTGAGTGTCAAGGCACACGAGTAAAAACTAGCGAGTTGAAGAGGGCCAAGAGGGCCAGCCTTTGCACAAGCCTTGGAAAATACAGCAGCGCCCGGCCCAACATTGGCTTGTGTTTACCAATGTTGTTGTAAAGTGTTGTATGAGCCTTACTATAATTTCTATTCAACCAGGTAGGAGAACCACCCACACCTTCTAGAATGGAAGATGGGGCCTTGGAGGCTGCTCGCATCGATTCAGACAGCTCTGCTTAATTTGATGCCTGACACTTCCTGTCCGCAGAAAAATAAGAAGTTGTCCAATGAGGATGTCAATCTTCATGTTCATAGAATCATACGAGCCATTTGGCACTTCGCATTCATGTTGAGCCAAGGTCAAGATGTGTCATGATGACATCGTCGTAAATTGGTACTCAAACAGTGGGACATGGAATATGTGTCCCTCCAAAGGCATATCGTTGACGACATGTTGCCCGGACGAGTCACCGACGGGATTGGGAATCCTTTGAGGCGAGCGATCGGCCGAGAATCTTCACGTGTTACACTTCGGCAGCCCGTCGAGTGCACACACATTCGGGCAAACAAGCGCACTTCGCATGAGTTCTGCACGTCGGCAACTTATACAGACATGTCTAGTTTAGATGTTTCATAGCCAAGCACTTTGTAAACCTCTACACAGATTTATACAAGGTTCAACAGGCATGCTTGAATCCCAGCGTTCAGGACGGTGAGCCCGTTTGCATGCAGAAAGTCGACCACCCTCAACCACCGCAAGTTGCCTTGGCGGTTGCATGGAATCAACCCCATCCTGAACATCCTCTCAGTTTCCCAAAGGGCCCAGAAATAAACGGTTCACCTTTGACCATGACAATGAACCAAAATGTGAAAACCGACAGGTCAAAAGGTCAGTCGCTTTAAACAACCGAGTCTTCTTCGCACGGCTAAGAGGACCAATCCGTGCCACAAAACAACAAAGTCCTTAATCGAACTACATGAGCCACCGTTGAGCCTTTTGCCATGGGCATCGGAGCCTTGGGCCCCTTTGAGCTTCGGGCATTGTCGACCATCAGCTCGTCCCCGGCCGCACCGCCAAAGCCCGACCAGCTGGCGCGAGCCTCTGGCGTTGGGGGGTGGTCCGCCAAATGAGGCTGTGCTCAAATTGGGTAAACAGGTGAACCCAGCGTTGGATCGACCTACAAATTGGGAAGTTGTGAAATCCACAAAAAGAACGTTGCACTGGTTTTCATTGCAGGGCACATTCTTTTCACAAAAGCACTTTTAAGGTCCAGTGGAACTAGCAGGCATTGAACATGTTCCTCCTCTCTCATGCAACGCTGTGCCAATCCAGTGGAGCAGGCTACTCCATTGATCTTGCATAGATCGAAAAGGGCTTCGGAAAAGCATCCAAGCCCAATTGCATTTTAGAGTCCTGGGAGCGGTTGTAGCACTACCTTGGCAAGGGTGGGAAGGATTCTTTCAGCAGCAGCTCCGTGCTTTGTGCTTGGTCGGACGGAGTTGCGTTTCAAGAGGGAACACCGCCATGGAAACACCTATGCTGCTTGGTGTGTTTTGCTTTGTTTGTTTGGCTTGAGGGGCCGAACAGGGTGTCTACTTCTTAGCAGCATGCCTAGATATGCCTAGGTTGCCTAGCATGACACAGTTCTGATGTAGGCAGCCTAGTTGACTACTGGATTGGGTGTGTTGCCAGTCAAACGCTTCTCGTTGGTTTCGCTTCGTTGCAGCTGCGAGTGCACGGTGTGTAAGTTTACGCTTGCAAATACAAGGCTGAGTAGCAGCCATGACTGCTATGGTGGAAGAGACGGTTCTTCGCAACAGGGCGGATCCAATCCCGCTTAGTACGCAAGGCATGCATCATGTGTAAGCGCCCAGTGCCAATCTGCCCAAGCCTCTCTAAACATGTACCAGAACTCCGCCAGGATATTGTTGCCGATGACGTCACACCTGAAGCTGCACAACTGTTCTGCGTTGGCTTGCGCAGTGGGCGCATGTTGTTCAGTGAGACACGTCGGCATGTTGTCTGCACTAAGCTGTAGCATCAGATAAACCCACGCTCATGTGTGATAGTCTCGTTTGGACAAGGATCCTTGCAAAAGCGCCGTCATTCAGAGAGTTGGTTCAAAACCAACTGAACGCACTGCCTATGTCGTAATGCTGCTTGCCCTCACTCCAAAGGGCAGAGCCAGACTTGCAGTCGATCCGGTCATGGGGTGGCTCAGCCTTTGGAGTTGCACTCTGCTCTTTTTTCTCGACAAAGGCAGGGCTCCTTCTATTTACGTCCCCTGTATGCCAAAGGGAGCTTGAAATAACATTGGCCCTTGGTGAGTGTTGCAACCACCAAGGGTGCAAATAGAACACCACCCACATCTCTATCGATGTCTTTTCCCGGAAGCTTCGCCGCTTCGACCAGCTTGGGTCCGCGCCAGTGCCTCAAAGAGGAAAACTCCAGTGGCACCTGCAGAGGGAGATTCCTGAAAGCAGCAAAGGTCATTGATGACTTCTTATTATAGAGTCCCTTAGTGGGGGTGGTTCACGCGGGGTTTTAAGGCTCCCTAAGGAACCCAAATCATAGAATTAGGACTACAGTTGGAATCAACCATACCAGCCAAGTTTGTAGGGGAAAGCACATCGAAACAAGGGGCCCCAGAACGCCCCAAGCGCTATGAGCTTAACAAGCGGCTTATCTCAGAGTTCCGCCGAGCGGAAGCGAAAGCGCTCGGAAGGGGTACTCTGAGAACCCTAAGATGGAGGTGGGTTGAGTGGGATTTTGGGAATCCCCCCAGCCACCCTTGTGGGCTTTTTCTGCGCGAGATTTACCAATTCAATCCAATTCAGCCTCCGAAAGCAACCTTCACCGGTGAGGTTGCGCGCCCCGAATGAAGGTGACTCTTGAATTTGTAGAACTGCAAAGCCACAAAAAGCTTTGGCTGCGCATGCGCTGCCATGGCCAAGAAGGCAACATGATCTCATTCTGAATAGAAATGGGCCTTTGTCGTTTCCGAAAAGAGCAGTCACTCGCATCCGCCTGCACCAATGGCCTCGCTGCAGGGTGCAGGAATGGCCTCTGGGCGCTGCACGTTGCACATCCAAACTTGCAATCCGGCCTGGCACATGTGGCCCGTGTTTGCAGTTGCTCATGTACGGTGTTGCTATTTGCAAATACTCCACAACAGCCTGGAACACATCAAAACTGTTCAAGCTGCGAAGGAGAGCGTCTTCGATGTAAGCACCTCTAAGGTCTCATGCAACGCAGAAGGGAAGTGACGAGATCGTTGCTTCCTGAGCCAACATGTGCACGCGTAACATCAATTTGTCAACGTCATGAATCCAATGGTCTGAAGTTCAACCAGCATGAACTGGAACCGGCGCCAAAAGGGTTCTACCGTCCTGCCAACTTTCATGCTCTTGATTTTCATGAAGTTAGGTTGACAGCATGGTGACCCACATGTGACAAGGAGGCCTTCTGCCGATCCATCCACCAGTCTGCCCCCTCAGGATCGTACGCCACTGGATCATCTGGTAAGGGACCAGCATGGCCAACCTTGGCAAGATGGCTGAGGTCAGCGAAGTAGACTGCTTCTCACCTTCAATTATTGAAGCCCTCATCTGACCCAATTGCTCTATTTTCCAGCAGGAATCAAGGGACCCTCAGTAAACGCACCTTCATGGCTGGGCTCGCTCCCCCAGGCGAGCTTCTCATTTGCCCAGCCCACCTCACAAACTAGTTGGAGGTCTTTTTTCGGGACCCCACATTTGTGCTTTGCTTTTGTTTTTTGGGTCCTTTTAAGGTTTCCGTTCAACGCCAGCCAAAAGGGGCACCCTCAAAGAAAGGCGCGCCACCACCGCAAATTCTTCTCTCGGGGCCGCGGCGCTTGCAGGGCCTTGAGCAAATCGGAGAGATTTTTGCAAAGCAAAGAACACAAGCGGCCATTTTGTGAGTGTACCCAATATCACAACCTTTAGCTGGAGGGTGAAGTATGGGTGTGTCTCAGTTTTGGGGAGCCCTTTTCGGGACGCTTCCAAGGAAGCCCGTAGGGATCCATCTTGAGGCTACTGTACTAACGCCAACACCCCCTAAAAAAGACAATTCTCAGTTTATAGTTTTGCACAATTTCGTGTCCCCACGAAACACAAAGTATGTTTTGCCCCTGGTTGGGAATGGAGCATTGGTCCTGGAAGGGTTGGAGCGGCATGTGGCAACAGGTACCACACAAGAAAAGAGGAGCATTCCTGGGCTCACTGAATTAAGGGTTTACAAGTGGCTAGTAAATGCCGCATCCAATGAGGCAAATTATTGAACCCCACATGAAGGGATATGCACTTGGTGAATCCTTGTAAACTAGCCAGGCAACCCCACCCCCATTTCTCCTGCAGGGAACATGTTGGTTTCTGGCCGCTTTGCTTCAAGTTTTGGGGTCTGAGAGGGCAGGGTAGATATTCTATGGATGTCAGAAACCTTGCAAGCTGGCTCCGCCTTCCGTGAGATGCAGGAAAGAAGGGCACCTTTGGTGACTTTTGGAAGCCCACGCACACATTCCTGACCTTTGTTCTGCTTGCCTCACTTGTCGCATACTGCTTTGAACGGCTCACTGTGGCGGCGCGGTGCCACTTGCTGCAAGGAAGAGCCAGCGGAGCGAGTGCGAATCCTGTCTGGCAGCCGAGGCCCTTCAAGTTCATCCGTCTCAAAAGGAACAAGCCCAACCAATCTGCAAGCAATGCAGTGAAAGCAAGCAAGGCACACTCTAACCTCTGCGTCATTTTCCCAGATCTTCAAGCGGATCTACCAAGTGCAGGTTGAGCTGTGAAACCAACGTCCGTTCTGGTCCTGTCACTTCACTGTCCTCGATGTCCATTGAGCAGCCCAGTGCTTGCGAGTGAGCGCCGCGAACATATCGGAAAGGCCTGCGATTCACCAATTGGCCAACTTCCAAGTGTCCCTTGTGAACTTTCAAGCGTCGTAACCATCAGACCAGAAGTGAACCCTTGCTCTCACCCTATGCCATGTTCAGGTCGCAAAGGGTTCCAACCCTTTGGGGGTTGAGCTCATTAAAAGTACAGCCCTTGAACGAAGCCTGCAACGGCTACAAAACCCGGTGCCTACCCACAACTGATAGAGCGAATCAAGGTTTACCGTCTCACCGCCCGAAGAAACCAAACACTCCCCCCATCAACAAGGATTATTTCTACACTTTGATCAAAGTTCCTCAATTTCCCTAAAGCGTTTTACTGCCATTACTGTTTCTGTGTAACTCCTCATCGTTTCATCTCACTTCGCAGCTTTCGAGGTGTTTCTCTCATGTTGCACACATCTTTCGCAGTGCGTCTGAGTGAAATATGGGACGCCCAAGCCTTATCATTTGTCACATTCCGTTGCTATTGCTTCTGAAATAGCGCACGTGAGCGACTGCCAGTCTGCTCATGTAAATAGGGGAAATTTCAAGAGGGTAACGGACTGCGGAGTACAGGGCGGCCCTTTTACAAACCTTGCAGGGGTGCAGGATGGCGCCGCAAGGCCCCAGAAGGTAGCGCAAGGGCGAAGGGCAGAAGGGTTCCACGAAGCTCTGCAAACGTCCATCCCCTTCGCGTTACCCTCCTGCGATTTGCTCTGAGTAAAGAAGAACATCGCAAGAGGAAAAGGCATAATACCCAAAAATGCAAACCACATTCAAAGTGTCAACTTTATCCATTAAACAGCTATACAAAGCTGCGCAAAGTGCTGCAGTTCATGGCAAATCCAAAACTGCTGCGCTATTTCTGACAAACAACACATTCTCGAGCACTGCTGCTTGAACTTGATGAACTGTTCAAATGCTACTGATACGGTACCAGTGTTTGGATCAAATTGTGGAAGGACAAGAACACAGATTAGCAAAACCATTTGAGTGAAGAAATCACTGACTCGGCTTTGCAGGCGACAGAAGACACGGCGGCCAATCAGCTGTGGGCAGATGTTGCACAAGTGTCTTACCAATGTTATTCATCGTTCATGGGCCAAAAAGTTATCACATCAAGCATCACATTATCTTCGGGAAAAATAATGCATTGCATTGAAAGCACCATCAACAACAGCTTTTCATGGTTTAATGGGCTGTATGGGGAGTGCAACCTTACGTTGTTTGGCAGAAGCAGCAGCGTCGCAAGGTCAAATTCAGACAGCGAGGCACCTTAGTACTGTCTTCTCTTGGTTGCCTCCAAGAGTTCAACAGAAACTTGTGCAGGGCAAACAAATCACACAACGTTTAACTTGTCGTGCAACCCCGGCAAGGTCGGCAGCAACAAGCCACCACAATGTGCAGTCTGAACCCGACAAATATCCAACATGTCAAACGGCGTATGCAAGAGACAAACGCCGTTCCTTGGTTGTAATTAGTAGTTAGGGAATCCAAAATATAGAGATATCTACTGAGAAGAGAATTCACAGAAAGTCAGTAAATTGTCCCTGCAGAGTTTAGGTGATAGATGTTGAGGCATCAACCTTAGAGGCTTGACATCCATGGCTCCTCCGCCACCCCGCCGTCCTCGCCATCAGTCCGTTGCTTCCGTCACGAGAGCCCCAAGACAACCGTGGCCTGGCACCAGCGGGAGATTCGCAGTAGAAAGACTGCAGGCAAGATTTGAGACATGTACAACAGGGATTGCCAAATGAGCTGGCACTTTGAAAGAGCTGAACATCAACATTGGTATCGCATGGCCCCATGCCTTCACACGGCACCGCCCCTTGGCTATCTCGCAAAGGTTGCCTTGGCCCGAGCGTCGCATATCCACAGTTCTTTCTCTCAGTTAGATCAAGTAAGCCATCGCAAGCAAGTGCTATGGAAACAAAACATCTGGGATCCTTATGGCTTAAGCTCCAAACATTACTTTGAGAGTATCATGTTGTGATTTGATAGGTAAATGATGGATTGATGTGAGCAGTAGAACGATATCCCAGTTTACAACAAACAAACGCTGTGGCGGGGGATGACCAATTTTGGCCATGCATGAAAAAGTGACACATGCATACCCACATTGCCATTCCTCCTGGCCCGACTCGGATGCCGGGTTGCAGAGAGCGGCGTCAGGCTGGACACTGCTCCCAAGAAGTGCTGGGCACGCTGCCACTGGCCCCACTTCATGCAGCAGTCAGCGGCGAAACCGTAGGCCACGCCGTCCTCAAGTTCCCACCAACATAGACCAGCCATGGGAAAGAAACGAGCCCCCCTTTTTGGTACTTGAATTTGAAGAGAAACCATCTGGAAGCAAAAGAACACAAGTGGCACTGCTGGTGGTCTGGGTTGGCAAGTGGGTCCGCAGGGTTATGGGTGATTTGTCCTCATTCAGCCCCAAGAAAGCAACTAACCAGCATCTTGGATGAGGTCGCAAGCTCCTTTATGAGGCTGCCCAAAACTCACCACCTGAGCAGGCAAGCGTGACCCTCCGGCGATATTCTTCACAAGAACCCTAATTGCGTGGTGAATCTGTTTGAATGCAAAACAACTGGGTGGTGTCCATCTCGCCGAAGCAAAACCATAAGGGGCACCAACTCAAATAAGACAGCCAACTACGGCCGCTAAAGCTGGTTGGCTTCCGTGTTTAAAGTTTGTCCCTTCAAACCAACAAAGCCGCAAACAATGCAAATAAAACACTCAGAACCGAATAAAACCCCACAAACCCTTGAACTCCCTTAAATCCCATGCCACAAACAAGACCAACTCCAGCCACAGGCCCTGCCGAGCATCCGTTCGCAGGCGCGCCTGCAACATGCTCGCAAGCAGGTGCACAGCCACCGCCCACGGGCCTCGAAACCCGCGCCGCCTTTTGCACTTGGATGTTGAACCTTCAAGGGGTTCTAAGTGGGACAGGTGTTGGTTGACTTGCAATGTCTCGTGTTCCGGGGACCCTGTCTAGGCTTCTTTTAGAGGGAAACTAAAGGGACAACCACCAGTTTAATCCACGTTTGTTTTGTTCGGTTTCTTTTTTTGCGGGGTCCCCTATTTTAAGACACACCCGTGTAACCATGGTTGTAACATAGTTGCTTGGTCGCAGTCTGCGTGAATCTGGGCGATCCGGTTGGGGTTATAAGTCCCTTAACCAAACAAAAGGCGGTCTAGTTGAAAAGGTGAGCCAAAAGGACATGGCCAAAAACGGGACGAATGCCCTCACACTTAGATGTTGTTTGGGAAACGTAGCTTGCACTGGTAAATAATTAAAACCAAGCTGAAACCAGTGTCATTCAGCCAACCTGACTCAACTGGACACCTAGGCTGTGAATGCATCGAAGACGTTCGGGGACTCACTAGTGAACCAAACAGCAAAGCAAGCAAAGCAAGCAAAGCAAGCAAAGCAAGCAAAGCAAAAGCAAAGCAAGCAAAGCAAGCAAAGCAAGCAAAGCAAGCAAAGCAAGCAAAGCAAGCAAAGCAAGCAAAGCAAGCAAAGCAAGCAAAGCAAGCAAAGCAAGCAAAGCAAGCTCTCTGGCAGACACAAGTTGTGAGTTCCGCGCCAAGAGCAGCTGTGACCCAAGCCACAAACCCTCCCTGAAACGCGTATGCCTCAAGGCTCTCTGAAGGCCGAGTGAGCTATCTATATTCGAGGGAAAAAAAAGCTCGAGGTCCCCAAGAAAGAAGCCATAAAGTAGAAACAAAGAAGCCACGACCTTTCGCCACTCTCTGCTCCAGAAACGAAGCACTCGGTGGCTACACGCCACTTTCTGGGACCCTTCCCGACCTGTTGCCCCGAAAGACGCCCCCCGAACATCACTAGGGCTTGAACATCACAAATGTAAATATGCTGTTTTAGCCCGGGATGCTCTGGTGACACATCATTTAGGCGGGGATTTACTTCCACCATCTTGAGGGTGTTCACCTTTAAACTCATAGCTATACATTGCGCCGTGGACTGAGCTCCTAAGGGCCATAATTGGCAAGGGTTCCCTTCATGTCTGGTTCACCTAACTGGGACAAGTGTGTTGATCGGGTCTTTTGACCATGGGTGTCTGAATGTTGAAAGCATGGACCCTCCCCAAAAAACAAAATAAACAAAAAAAAAACCAACCACTTGAGAAGAGAGTGAACAAAAGCAAGCCGGCCCAAAAATGTCATGTGAAATTCATGCGATCTACTTGGCCCTGGTCCTAATAAGAAAGATTCCTCAGCTTCAAGCATGTGGGCGAAATTCTGGGAATATGCTCGTCCGGGGGGGCTAGGGGCCAGGGAGGGGGGGGGAATAAGTTCACAGATTTCCCGCAATCTTTCCGGAATAAGGGTTGTTGCTTTTTGAGACCATTGCTGGACCGACGACTAGCCCTAATTTATTGGACGATGGGTAAAAAGAACATGGCCACCATGTCCGGGTCTCTAAAAGGCTCAACATTCGGACCCTCGATTCGGCCAAAAATGGAGGCAGGAAGCCTTCTCCAGTCATCGCCTCCAGCACGGAGTTGTACATGGACTCATCCGCGTTGGTGCAGCTCCTGTGTCACAGTGATCGTTGCCACACAGACCTCCAGTGGTCATAGGACAACTGGAAGCACGCGGGGGATTTTGGGTGGGAAACCACCAACAGGTGATGTGTAATTCCATCCAAAATCGGAACCACAGGGAAATCTGACAGACCTCCTGGCCTTTCGCTGATGGGATGGAAGAGAACCGCCATGTTGATAAACCTATAGGCGGATTGGTTGTGGAATAGCATTCTGCGTGCAATGCTGAAGAGCCCTAAACAGCACAAACACTGTGTACGCAACAAGAAGTCAAACTCAGTCTACCAACTATCCATGGGCTAAAACAATTTGACCGGGCGTTTGCGCGAACCCTCTGCCGTGGTGCCCTTCCGAACAGAAAGAAGCTTGAGATCTCCGGTGCGCTGGTTCCACTCCGACATGTCAACTGCATCGTTGTAAACATGGACATCAGATCAGAAGAGCCAATACCAGTCCGCGGGCAACATGGGCTTCGTTTCGTTGGAGATGTTTGTTAGATGGCGTGGCAAGACATGAATGCCAAGTATCACCTCGGTTTCGGAGCAAGGCCTTGAATGTGAGGGTCTTCCGGCCAAGGATCAGCCCAAGCGAAAGGCGTTCGGCAACGACGAACGACTCGGGCCTGGCCCAGGCTTGCCGAACGGGGTACCCGTATTGAATGACAAAAATGCGCGCACACACACACACACCCATCCTGCAAATTAACATGCACCCCCCAAAACACCCATGTCCAAAGGAAGCTGTGCTTTGGGCACACCCGGAAAGGTTCTTGGATCTTGCACTCGGCAAACTTTTCTGGGCGGGTCTTGATGTCTCTCCATGAAACTATGGTCGGCTCCGTCTGTGAATGCTGGGATGCCTTTGTTCGCAGTGTGGGAGCTTGCGGGAACCGGTTCCACAGGTGATGATTGAAACCAAAAGGGAAAAACTTGTGTCTTCTTCGAGGCATCCTTTTTGAGCTGTGCTCGGGATATCGTATCCAAACCTTAGCAAACCTTTGCAAGGGAACCCCATCCCGAACCGCACCCTACCCCCCCCCCCTCCCCTCCAAAAACAACAAGAAAAAGGAGGAGAGCCTTAAACTCAGTTGCCCAAAGGAGCCAGAAAAGAACGGGGAATTTGGGCCAGGTCAAAAGGTGGATTCAATTTCCTAAACCATCTGCAAAAAGGATAGGGGTCTGTACTTCCAGCAAAGCTCAGCACCGCAGTCGAGTCCAGCAGCTAAAATGCAACAACCACTGGCTCAGAACCAAACAAAACCAACAGGGCCCCACAAACAAATCATGTGAACACCAAGAGCCAAGAGATCAAAAGGTGGAGTAGTTAAATCGTCTGCAAAGGGGCCCCCCTTGCCCCGCCGCTTCTGCACTCCTCAGGAGCTGCAGGGCCGGGCGCCAGGCGCGGCGCTGGGCGCAGGCCGCCACCACCACGCTGGCGGCCACCACGTCGCGGCGCGGAGGCGGCAGGCCTCGTGCCACCAAGCCAATCGCGACGAGAACTCAAGCGCATTCGAAGCAGAGAGAAGTGGGAATGACACAACTCAAGTAGAATCTCAGAACACAGTTCATGGGAACAAAACCGTACAGAAAGCAAACCGCACATCAAACAGTGCCATCTACATGATCTTCAGCCCAACGATGCATGAAACATAAGCTTGAAGCCCAATCCTATAGCAATTACTAGGATGTCACCTAGAATGATTTTGCGACTCGACTCCGAGGATCCGCCGTGCAGGGCCGCTGCCCGCCGCCACTGGGCCGCGTTGGCACAGGCGGAGAGCACCGCGGTGGCTTGCACCACATCCCCTGGGACCAGGAAAAACCCACGGAACATCTTCGGAGCAGGAAACTGAAAATCAAAGGCTTGGGACTGAGCCAAAAACCAAAATGAGGGGGGGTTCCGTTTTCTTGGCCTTCATGTCCACACTTGCGTATTGAAACTCACGGAGCACAACTCATGAGCCACAATAAAGCCATGTGAAGCTCTTGACCCTTACGCCGCAAAACCGCCCTAAGGGCCCATAGTCGTGGCTCCCTCAGTAGCTCCCTTGCCCTAAGGGCCTCAAATCCAAGACCATCCACTGAGCAGGTCTTGAACAATTGCATCATGAGCCACGGTCAATACCACATGATTCGTCCCCAACCAGGTCATTTTCCTTATCAACCAACCCATTTCCAAAGCGCATTGATATTTTTGTGCGCCCCACAAGTCATCCAAAGCCTTTACTACCATAGTTGGCAGTATTTTCCGGGAAGTGATGGATGAAACCCCACGCATCGCGGAAGAAACCACCTACGAATGGATATCCTACCACGCTACGCACATTCGCCGGTCGAGACTCGAAGCTGCCAGCTGAAGAGCGCCACTCGCCAGTGGCTGGCCGCAATCACCGCCTCCGGCTTGTGGTCCTTTGCAGTCGCGGGTTTGAAACCCTTACCAATCCGGTGTTATACTGATTCTATATAGGGATTACCTGATTCCAAACCAGGTAGAAACACCTGCTAAAATGGCCAATAAGGTTTTTGGGCACTGCGCAAGTCCTATGAATGTCAAAGACTCTGAGTGGTGGAACTGTAAACTCTACTGGCCTATAGGTTGTATTGGGCGCTATTGGTGCAATTGGGATTGGGGGACCTTTGAAAAGCACAGGATACATAGGCGAGTGATGCCTTGGACGTAGTTTGACTTGGCTGTAGACTGCTTTTCCAGAAAGACCAAGCACGAGCATGGGAAAATGCACGGAAACCCAAAGGATGCCAAGCAAGTGGAATGTTGAGGCGCCTAAAAGCTGGAAATGAGATTTCTGCAAGTAAGAAACCTTGTCCATGACCAAACCAAGCATGTGTGTTTATTTCTTGTGGGAACCAGCGATTTTGTCCGACCAAATGCAGCTAAGTACGGCTTCTGGGAAAAGTGACCGAAAGATACCCGCATTACCACCCTGCTTTGGCTTCCTTTTGGGAGTATCAAACATGCTGGGCAAATGATCATACTTCACCGACCGAAAAATCAGAAATTCACCTGCAAGAAGGGAACCCTCACTTTGGGTGACTTCGAAACCCCCAGTGACGTCGCTATTTGCCCAGTGCCGTGAGCAACGTCGCTGGTGGCGGCAGACCCGGCAAGGCGCCAGCTCCATGGCCAGTCTCCACCGTCCTGCACGCCCCACAAGCGCCGCGCTGGCGCTCTCAGGGGACACCGCCAAGGCGGCGCGCCAGTGCCCGGCGTCCTGACGCGCTCGTTTTTGTTTTCAGGGAGTGAGAAGAAAACAAATGGACATGAGCAAACTGAAATTCAAAATTCAAGCCAGTGAAAATGAATGGAAGCAAACTGAAATCTATTACTCAATCAAACCAAACAGGACACTGTGAATGGACAACATCCTGCACCAGCTGGCAAGTGGTTTACATTCAATTTTCATAGGGGTTCACTTGACTTGTAGATCACAACCCATGGGATGATGTGCGGCAAAACAGTTGGCACAAGCGCATCCGGAAAAACCTGATCATGGGCTTAGCGCCTGATCAAGTTCTGCCCACATGGAAAACAAACCGCATGAGCTAGCCAAGGCACAGCTGGCTTGCCTCAAACTAAGCTTCAACAATGTTTACCTCAAATCACAATGTCCACTTGATCCACTCGAACCATTTGCTCCACTAACTCCTTGGATCCCATGTCCATTTCGCTTATTTGCTGCGGGGGATCATCTGCGAGGCGCGTCGCTCCTCCAACGCCAGTGCGGCGACGCTGCCTGCCACGGCGTCCTCAGCGGTCGTCGCAAGACTCCCAGTCAAAGGTTTTGTTCCCAAAGCACAAGAAGTGAAACGCAAAATGGCGTGCTATGGCGTGCTTAAAGGCAGGCCTAGTGGAAAGTATAGCTTGTCAGTTGAGCTCAAGGAAACGTCTCCAATTGCAACAGAAACAAACAAGAAGTCTTGGTCTGCGTGTGTGGCTCTAGCTTCAGAAACGCACATAAGGCTCAGAATCTGAAACAAAGAAGGCCTTCACTATAGGTGAGTTCCATTTACCCGCAGGTAAGCTCGCTATGCTTCGCACGAGTCTGATGCAGCATCACCTAGTCACACACTGGCATCACACAAACTGGGCATCCTTCCTATACCAGTCAGCTGGTCATGCAATACCCAATCAAACATGTTCCGTTCTGATACAATGATCACCATGTCTTAGACAGCCTTCAGCGAAGCTGGAGTCTCATATTCAAGAATTTACCCTTAGATGACCGTCTTGGGACTTCAGTCGAAGTGAATAGAGGCCTGCAAGACGGGGTGGCTGCTAGGCGGCAGGTGCTTCAAGAAAACTCATGATACCAGCATTCAAGTTCCGGCTTGCGCCAAGTACGTCCAGGCAGTTGTTCTCAAAAGGCCCATCCACATCTTGCCGAATCCATGCAAATCAAGTCCCTCCGTCTGTTGAGGGAGAATCTGCCTTAGCATACTGTCTATATTATATAGTGTGTGTGTGTGTGTGTGTGTGTGTGCGACGACGTCATAGAAACATTCATGCCCGCACTCGCGTGAGGCCCAATGTGGACGTAGCCTCCGTTTGGGTCGCTTTCTCAAAACGGTGGGCCCCGTTTAGTTGGTATTCAATCGAACAAAAAGAGCAACAGCATGTTAGGATACCCCAATTTTGAGAAGCCCCCATATTACTGTCGGGACCCGGTAGTTTGGTGCTAACCGGTTGGCTAAAAGCAGGTTGTAGAGAGGGGCCCAACCCAAACCAAGGCTTCCAGCCGAGACCCCCAAGACTGCACCGGTAATAGGCTTCAAAGCCTTATGGACCAAAGGGATCAGCATGAAACCGGGAGGCAACCCACCGGCAGGCCGTTCACCCTTCTACAGTTGGGTCGAAGTAGATGGGAGAATTATGTTGTTTTCAGTCATTCCTTTTGCCCAGAAAGCTGTGCCATGTACTTTGACCCAACTGTAGTCTTTTATGCTCTTTTCACCTTGAAGGGAAATCAAAACGAGGTTGGTCCAAAGGGAGGCCAAAAGGAAAGCCACTACTTTTTACTCCACCCAACTGCACTAAGTAATGAATCCGCACCAAAAGTGACGAATCCCCACCAAAGGGGACACCCCTATTCAAAAAATCTGCCAACCAATTTACGTGTGGGTCTCATCCGGGTTCCCGTTAACTCCGCCGGGATCAATCCCCGGGGCGAGGCGGGGCAGCGCCACCGCCGCCTGCCACTTCCCGGCGCGGCGGCAGGCCACCTGCGCCGCGGTGAGGCCTCAAATGTGAGGCACAGAGATTGACAGGAATCGGGTCTGGAGACACAGACTGTCTACCTTATTGGGTTCGTCTCACCATGGGGGACCCCAAAACGGTGGGCTTGCTTTTAGTTGTCCTACATATATGTGGTCACCACCCCTTCCCAGCCTGCCTTTCTACCTTATACATTATATGGACAAAGCTCAACCTGACAAAAAGAGACCAAACAAAAGAGCCTTCTTCATGTTGCAAACCGCCAAAGGTGGTGGTACAAACCCAAATTAATGCAGAGGTCACTGGATTCTTACTGGCTTTCATTGAAACAATCGCCACTTTTGGTGGCAAAAAGGGGAACGGAGGAACCTCTGTTTCAGTTGTGAAGCCAACCATGAGAAGGGGTCACCTATTGTGACAAACCCACCTGGAATCCGCTTTCCAGTCAGGGTTCCCAATATTTCCCCTTGAGGCCCTCGTACCCGTAGGGATAAATTCACGTCAAATGGGCCGAGGCGATGTTTAAACCACCAAGGGAAACATCAAGACCCCAGCTATTTGGTGGGCTAAATCGGTTTGGAGGTTAGCGTGGCCGGCCATATCATAGTCTCTTCAAGAGTTCAAACCGCCACTCCCAACCACCAATCAAGGCTTACCTGAAGGAAGCCGTCCGTCCTTCCAAAACAATCGGCTACCGGAAAAAACAAACCATGTCAGTCGCTCGTAGCCACAGTCAGAATATGCTTCTCTGCAACGGACATGGGAAAAATTGGAAGTTCCAGCCACCCTGGGTTTTGTCTATGATACTAACTTACACTGTTTTGAAGTACTCACCGCACAACCCCAAGCCAAAAATCAGACCCTTAAAAGCAGTTGTGACCCAAATAGGTGGATTTCCTGTTAGCCGCTTTGAGAGATGGGGGACCTCAAGAAAGAAAACTTCAACGCCCCCTTCATGCGTTGCATATCTTGCTGAAGTGTAATGCTGGCGAACTTCTAGCACCTAGCGGATGCATAGGGTGCGAAGAACTCCCGGAAAGTAAGCTGCATTTCTCTTAAGACGGACCACCTGTTTGATCCACGAGCTCATTGATCCTGAGTTGTCAGTAGAACATGAACAAGTAAACACGTATAATATACAAACAATAATTGAGGAGTAGACTAGACATACAATCAACACATGTTCCCGTTCGATGTGAACTCTTTTTGAATACTCAGCACCTGAACGGCACTGAGTGAAAAGGGTTGCAAAGTCCCCGGAACTTGCCATCTGCGCTTTGCACCCCAAGCTGGACGCGCATAACGCGAGTTGCTTTAGCGGAACAAGTCAGAACAGGATTTGTTGCTTGCGCCATAGTCTCAACACAGTACAGTCCAAGTGTCTCATGTCAGCTTTCTGCATCTTGGAGCTTAAGAGACCTCGCAGCAGCTCCAAGGCAACCTCGCATGAGAGAGAAACAACCAAAACAGGCCTCTGTGCCTTGATTTGCCTCTCATAGCCTCTCTCCAATGCCAACAACTAGTATTGAACCGGACAACATGGATTTGCGATTATGTGCTTAGGTTTTGCACCGCCGTCTGTCGTTGATTGCCTTTCTGCAGGTGCAACTCGATTTAAAGCTTGAGATATGCAAGGGAAACAGTTGTTTGAACCTGAAGCTAAGACATGAATTTTATCTGAAGCCCGGCGATCTAGACGTCTCAATGCAAGAAAGGGCCTCTTGTATCGCTAGTGGGTTCATGCCGCGGGCCGAGAGCGTTCAACACTAAAACAACCCGCTGCCTTCTGTAAAACGACCATCAGCCTCAGGACGCTCTGTGATGTGGGATTGTGCAGGTGGAGCATCATGATGCATGAGAACTCATCAACAAACAAGACTCCCCAACTTCAGGTCATCTGGTCGTTTACAGCCTGCCAAAACGGGTCGGCGTTCTGGCATTGATCCTGATTGGCCTCGCCCTCTAAATCTTTCAATAATATTACGCAGTAGTTCAGGCTGGAGACTGCTCAGCGCTCAGGGAAAAAAATGTATTCCTTCTTTCAGGCGGCAGTGACTCCTCGGTCCAAGCACAGCGGAAGCCACATCTTTGGCTTCTACCAATTTTCAAGTTCTTCCTTTTGGGAGACTGCCTACTTTTGCAATCGGTGGAACATCATGGAAGCTCAGAGATCCTTCCAAAGTTGAGACATGTCCAGACCGCCCCAAGCCGACGCCTGCCATTCGCCAGCCATTGCGGTCAGCACGGCGGAGCAGCTGATGTCGTTGGGCTCCAAAGCTCCTGGGCCCCCCGCTGACGCGGGCAGGTCCCACTTTCGCGATCGATCAAGCAGGGAAAAACACGCGCGCATGAGAACGTGCCGTGCCCCACCAAATCTCCTGAAGAATAACCGTGGCTGAAAAAAAAAAAAAAACGGGTTCCTTAGGCTCAAGATCTGGGCATGACCATGGTTTGTTCGGGACCATTTGGGCTTCTTTCCAACCGTGAATCACAGAGTGGATCTATTTGAGCCCAGTTCAGCAACCAGCTTCTTTAGAACCGGGATTGTTTCTGGGGATTTATGTTCCATGTTGGAGGAGGTTCCCTATTACCTTGCCACCAAACCAAGATGGAACCGGACGCAAACAAGCAAACAAATGTGAGTGTCTTGGTTTGAGAGCACTCTGGCGGTGGTTGCAATTCACTGCAAAGGGAAACCGAGAGAGAAAGCCACCCGTTTTTGGGTTTTTTTTCCGATTGTAAGACACATCCACTCTAGCCATTCAGCACTCGGACGGGTTAAATTCGGGCAGCTGCCACGCATGTCTTCCAGGATCTGCAGCGCCAGCTGCCAGTTTCCCTGGCAGCCCAGAACGGCGTTGTAGCTGACTTCGTTGGGCGGCACCACGTCCTGAGACGTACACGGTGTATGTTTCTGCGGGTACCCTTTGTCAGGTTGGTTGGGATAACATGGGATATATATATATATATCTATGTTCTCTTTCTTTTTTTGGGGGAAGGCGGCCTTTGTCAGGTTTGTAAGAAAGGGGAGCCCAAAGGAACACCGCCATATTGAGGCACCTTTGACACGTACCCAGGGTTCGCTTTGCAAGCAACTTTGCTGGGATATTGGGTTTTAGGGCTCTGCAAACAATGACCATGTGTCCATGGCACGCGTACTAGCCGGGGCAAATTCACATAAATTGGGTCCTTGCCCCAAAATGAGCTGCAGTTTCCTGGCAATAATGTCTGTTGGACAACAAACGCCAGGGCTTTGTTCACAAAACCGAGGAAGTTGGCAACAAACCAAACAACTTCCTCAAGCCCTACCTCAAGTTTCAGGTCACTGATGAACTAATGTTCCGCTGTCCGACGAATACACTGATCAACAAACATAAGCATGGAATCCAAAAGTGCGACTCTTGCGCTAAAGGAGGTTCCTCTTTCAAAGGATGGGTGGTTTAGGTTGTGCTTAATCTGCAGGAGAGTAGACTCTAGCAACACACTCCTGAAAACTGACCTGACATGAAAACGAACCTTTTCAAAACCAGACTCCCAATGTCTGTGTGCTGGTGCATGATTGCTTTTGGGAGTATTGAATGAAACCTGTTGATACCTTTTCAGGGATGACGCCCGCTGCCCTTTGTTTTCAAGCGCGGACGATCCAAGCTGATCTGCTTTTGTTGATGGCCTTCGGTCCTCCATACATTTTCATACCAATCTCGATGATCGCAGATTCTCTTAGGCGGTTGGCCGGCAAGTGAATCACATTCGTAAAACATGATTGCCACAAGTGCCGCTGCAGCGCGCTTTTGTTTGGTTGTGTCCCGTTTGATGCGCTTGCCTCGCGACAGCTTGCAATTTGAATAGGCCTCCAGAAACCACCAAACAAGAAGCGCCATCTGCAGGAGCAACGCCCAAGTTCGCCACAAGCAAACTAGCCCTCCCAGCAGTTGTGAAATGGTCCGTCCAAACAAACTTACCAACTCGCGCTCAGTGTCTGCCTGCAAACCTAAACCTGCCCTGACTGAACATGGACATGGACCCGTCGCAGGTTGGCCTCCTCCATCTGCTGCAGCCACAGCAGCGCATGCATCCAGTGGCTTGCCTCTGGTGAAGCTGAATTCCAAGTAACGACTGGTTTTCCAATGAGGCATGGCTTGTGGTTCCGGTGATGGGTCCTCTACCTTCAGCACAACTCTCAGCTCATCTAGTTCAAATTAACACTCCGTACGTAACGAGTAAGCAAAAAAGTCATCTCGCCGCGCTTGGCGCATACTGCAAGCACTCCGCTTTCAATTTCGAGCCTGAACAAAAATTCGGTGGTGACATCACCAAATTTGTCTCCAGCATCAGCATCCACCATCCAAATGCCGTATCTGGGGTTTATAAGAAAAACAACGGCTGAGCAAAACTGTCCCAGGTTTGTCTGGAATCATAGCACTGAGGGCAACCCCAGCTTAACCTCCAAGCAACAAAGAAAATAGACGCTTCACAGCCCTGTGAGTGAAGGATGTCCACGCATTGTTGGTACTTAGGCGAACATAGCCTTTATCTCACACCCTGGGAAGCAGCTTGGGATGGCTGGATGGCACAAACTTATCCAATGCTGCATGTGGAAGCCGCCTTCATTTGAACGCAGGAGGGCAAAAGCTTTTGCTTGGTTACAATGCAGAGTCTTTGGTTTTTATGGGTATGCGCCGAAGTTGGGAATCGGATTGTAACTTGTTGCTAATAAACCACGGGGCCGTTGTATAACAAGGAGGGCATGAACTGCGATAACCATTTCTAAGTCAAACAGAGTCAAGACTAAAAACCATACACTTTGGCAGCCCAAGTTCAAATTTTCCGTGCAAGCGCCATATGCAAAGCACACTCTCGCAACTGTTCAGCAACAGTGCAGCAGGCGAAGCACACATTAAACTTTTAGGCACAAGTGCTGTACATGCCATGCAGTACACTTTGGCAGCTCTGCGGTCTTCGAGCAGCCGCTGCTTTATTCCCTGTCGTTTTGTTTTTCTGTGTCCCAGGCGTGATGCATGTTTTGTCCAAAGAGGACCGGCCCAATATAGTACTGAAGTCCTGTTCAAGCCCTCTTCATACAACCCCAAGGTTGCAGGGTCTTGAATTCTGGCAAAGCCTCTGGCAGTGTCTAGGAAAGTGACATCCTCAAAAGTAAGTTTGAGACTTTGAGAGTCCCTCCACAAACACACAGGTTGTGAACTATGCTGTCAGTCTTACTGATGGTTTCTTGGTTTCATTTATTGATAGCTTTTTGTGGGGAGGTGTTTTTGTTGTGTTACGATTCGCATTTACGATTTCAATAAGAACACTCCCTCGCTCAGCCCCCCCCTCCGCCCCCTAAAAGCCGCACGTGAAAGCAGAGAGTGCAAAAAAAAAATGAACTCGTATAAAAGTCAAAACACAAAGACCATTCATGACCATTCTAGTACGATTCCATATTGTTGCGACTGTTGCGTCAAACATAGTAAATGTGTATTGAAGTTGTATTCAAATGGTAAAACCCGCGTAACAAGAACATAAATGCCCCATCATTTCAAAATGGTATCCAAATTACAACAAAAAACAATTTGGCCTTTCCTTGAGTTAGCCTACGCCATAGGTCACAACACTAAGGGACCCTGTCTAACTCAATCCTCACACTCTTGGGAAGCACACTCACCTCTCTTCACGTTGCCTAGCATATTCCCCATAGGGCAGAGTATTGAACAAATGGGCCCATGAAGTCACCACCGCAAGTCTCTCTTCGCAAGTGTCCACATGCAATGCTGCAGCGGATGGGAACCGCAGAAACTCCTTTTTGCATTGTTGGTGTGGCGGCTTGCAAATAGAGCCAAGGCTGGCAACACCCTATGCTGTGGCTTCCCCCGTGAAACAGGAATGGCACACGTCCCAGTCACACGTGCGGCAGCTATGCATGACAACAAAGCATTGTTCGCAAAGGTCACAAACAAATGACTTCTCAAGTGTCAAGACCTGCATCAGCCCATGCAGTTGCCCACAATTGTCTTTCGTGCCTCTTTCCCTTGGCTGTACTTGACTGTCCTCATCACTCTGCTCACCACTCTCCTGGCAATCAGACGCAGCAGAAAATAGGATATGCTCCAAAATTGGGTTGCTGTGCATGAGCTGCGACATCTTATTGTTGCTCAGTGCGCTGCAGCGAAGCTCATGCGTCATCTCGCCCGGGCTGCTGCCCAGTTCAATCAAGGCTTCCAACAGGTCTACACCAAATGGAAGGGGCAGTGCGTCATCGCAGTTCCAAGCCATCTCTTGAACAGCATATTGCAAAGGAGTCAGTCCACCGCAGCACGGACCCTGGATATCAAGACAGTCGGAGTTTTCAGTCAAAATGTTCACCATGTCACTAATCTGCCCTTGGGAAACAAAGTGCATCAAAATCCCTGACAGCATGAACTGCTTTACGCTCAAGTCTGTTTCCTCGATGAGTCTGAGCAAATCCTCGTCGATCTGCGTGGAACCCGAAGGACGCAGCATTGCTCTCAGATTGTCAGTCTCAACAAACTTGCAGCAAAGCCGCGGGTATGCCCAATAGCCTGGATGGCAAAATGACTTCAGCTTGCTCCTATCCTCCTCGGAGAGAACTGTGTCGCCTGCATTGTTACAAGCAATTGGCGCAGCAGCCCCTACCTGAGCTTCGTTGCCAAGCATCTGTCCAAGCTCGCAGGAAGAACCGTGCGCTTTTGACAAGTGCTCTGCTTCCCGTATCAGAGTCCTCCTTTTTCCCATGCCAGCAACATGCAACATTGCATTTTGAAGCGCCAATGGCAGTCGTGACCCTTTCGCCAGTTCTACATATAACTGCGCATTCAGCAGGAGAGCAGCAGAATCCCAGACAGGCCATAACGAGGAAACGACGTTCGCAGCTCCACCAGCAAGACCCGCCATCTCAAAAACGTTCCAGGCAGCATGACCACCATCAATCCTCCCAGAATGGCAAGTGCTTAAATTCAGAAGCCACGGGTTAGAGAGGCAGCACATAAGTTGGGTTGCTCTGAGGCAGGTCTCATCTGAAAGCAATATAGCCGAATCCAATGGGCAAACATCGTTAAAATGCAGGTGCGTGGAGAATTCAATGATGGAATCGTCCTCCTGCTTCATCAAGGCCTCACAAACACCGCACCTGTGTGCTGAATCCTGACTTAGCACAGAGACAGCGCATGACGGGGAAAAAGCTGCAGCGACAATGCTTCCCGCAACAGCACTAAATCGCAACTCTGGCATTTTGTCGAACGATTCAAGAGATTCCGTATCTGAATCAGCCGCACTGAATCCCATATGATACTGCATGAAACGCGGATTGCAGATCACAAGTGCTGGCACAAGTCCATCAATGGGATGCGGTCCCTGGGATGGGTCTGCGTTCGAAGTTGCTGCGCCATAAGTCTTAGCAAAAGTTGGAACCTTTGTCTGTCTTACGAGTGCCAGTTCTGAGAGGCTACTGCCAAAGGAAACCGTGCGCGACATGATAAGCGGCTTCCCTTTCCACAGAAGCACATGGAATGGAAGTCTGGCTAACTCACCTTGAGCAATGACAAGTACATGATGGCATGGAAGAAGCAACGGTTGCAGGGGGGATAGCAACACCGCGCCTAAATGTAGTGCAGCGTCGATCCAATTCGACTGGTCCGAATTTCTCCAGGGTGGGTCCTCACAACTTGAAATCAAGGCCTCCACAAGGGTCAGGTCAACTGCAAGCGTCCTCAGCTGGACATGCGACCGCGTAATCCCCCAAACAACGCAGTTGAACTCATCCTTGCCAGTTGGAAGAGGCAAATAGTAGAGAACCACTTGATTCTCCTCAAGCTGTGCTTGAAGCAATGGAAGATTAAATCCTTCCGCGCATCGAAACCTTCGCCATGCCTCCGGCAAATTTTCACGCTGCTTGATCAGTTTCCACAGCTCTCTCCCTCCTTGTGCAATGCCCACAGCTTCCCCGGACAAATTCAGAGCAAGGCCTTGCAAGAACGAGCTGACTGCCTGTATCTCCTCAAGTTCGGTCAAAAGGTGCATGGGGAAAAATAAATGGACAATGGAGCTGAAGAAATGATGCTCGACAAGCTCAAGAATGCTCAAATCCTCATCCTGGACATCCTGGGTTCCAGACCCCAAGCGATGAATCACATATTCCAAACAAATATTGTAGCGTGGCTTTAAGTAATTTGACAGCTCATTGTAAAACGGGCCGCCATAGCCCTGGGAAGCTTTGTAGGCAAGCTCAATCTGCTCGAGCATTCGAAAAAGAGCTTCCGCGTGCTCTGGCCAATGTCGGCTGATCAGCCGTAAACACTTTGCACATGTGACAGGAGGAATCGCACACCAATGCTTGGAGACCAACAGTTCGTTCCATCCGCAAAATGCATTCATGAAAGCAATAAAGTCCATCTCATCCGAGTCTTGGCAGAACTCAAGTTTTGAATCTGGCGCCAGCCTGGCCATCAAGACTGACATGACAAAAATCAGTTTTGTATCCACCTTGGGCAAAGTGTCTGCATTGGATATTAGATAGCTTGCCTCAGCTTCAGGATCCATGTCAAATGTATAAGTGACCAATTTCCAGATTTCATACAATGAAAGATGTGCATCCCCGTACTTGATCGCCACGTCCCAAACTTCAGCGAGGCTGCATCCAGCTGTGTGAGCATCTGTGAGTTCAGGTGGCACCACACAAATGGAGACATCCAGGCCGTTAAAGAGAACTCGGTCGCAGAAGCGGGATCTTACACGAATGTTGGAGTTCATGGTGGTTCATGTTCAAGAAGGCAAAACATCGTCTGGGTTGACAGCACTCGTTGAGCCACAAAAGCTGCAAAGAAAAAGCATGGCATGTGGCGAAAGAAGTCAGGCTTCCCGCACCTGGATTTCAACAGTATCTGGAGGGAGCATATCTTGCTAAATGTGTCCAACTGTCCCACAAATCGCGTTCTCTCCAAGCCAACTGACCCCTCATGACCCTCCACTAACAGCCAAGTTAACGTTTGTGGTGATGAAATGGCTTCAGGACAGCTCCGAGAGGAATGCAGCGCATTGGGCTGTGCCTGAGTTACCCGTCTTTCCTCATGCTCATCATGAAGTCGTTGCCGTTCATGGGAGCCGGTCCCCTTTCACAGGGAAACCAAAAGAAAACTAACCTGGAAGTGATTCCTCCCCTGCAAACTCATACTGAAGGTAAACCAGTGGCTTCTCGAACTTAATGACAGGACCATCGGACCAGCCCTTATTTTGTGCCTCACTCATGTCACACATTCGGACCAGGCTCACCTATAAAATTAGCTTCAAACTGGCACGGCTGTATCTTCACAAGCTCCGGGCAAAGCTGCAAAACCTCTGGGATCATCAAAACACCAACAGGACACCAGCCGGTCACACTGGAAAACGATGCTTTTTGGATCTGAAGTTAGGGATCGTGGCCGCCATAGTTTTGTGAGGCTGTAGCCATTATTGTCATTGGGACGGGAGGTTCCATAACTCCGTAATTAATTGTTAGAACCCGTCGCAGAGGTCTCCCCTGGCCAGAAGAGCCTCTTTTCAGCAGCGCCCAAAACCCATTGACTTTTGGCTCTACCAAAGTTTGCAAAGGTCTTACTACAACCGCCACAAGAAGGCAGGAACCGAAACTGGCCTTTCTTTTTGAGCTGGTGAAATTATGTACGTTGAACCCACTGAGAGCCGCGTGCCCTGGTGCCTTTGTGGATGCCTAGACTAGAGCCTCTCTGCTTGCAGCCCGCCTCGGCTGAGGATCTTCCCTGAAATTGTGGGGTGGTGTCCCATTTTTGACGGCAGTTTGAGGGTCCACGGTTGGTGTGGGTCGAAATTAAACCACCAGAAACGTCAGGTTTTAGTCCGTGTTTCCACAGGGCAACCCATTTTGGGGTCACCCTATTTCTGACCCACAGCCAGGTAACTTTTTCAGAAGGCAAACCTGGGCCATGGCACATCCGTGTCTCTCGCCAGTCTGAGCGGAACCGGACATCACCTTTAAGCGTGACAGAAACATACAAAAACATAGGAACCAAAGAGCAAAAAGCACCGGGTGTTCGCCGCCTCCTTGTAGGCACCCAGCACCGCGTTATAGCAGACCCGGTTCAGCTGCAGCGCCTCAAAAAGATGCCGGTTTGCTTTCTTCGAGGTAGTTTCCCAAAATAGAACTCGGAGCCCATCCTCTCTGCCCAAAGGACCCAGCGCTAAACAAGTTACTTTGTACAAAATATGGACCGTGGGAAAACCAGGCGAAATCGATTCGCTTTGAACAACTGAGCTAAAGATGGTGTCCTTTTTGCGTTTGTCTAATATTGAGAAAGCACCAAGCTGGGGGCCCAGTCCTCATTTAAAGGAACCTCGACTGAAAGGTAGGGTTGGCATTGGGCAAGATGGTGGGGTTTGCTTCGTTTCAACCTGCGCCGGGGACTTTGAATGTCGAAATGTATTCACCCGGACACCAGTCCCCCAACCAAAACCTCTAAATAGGCCTTACAAACTCAAATGGCACCTATTCTGCGTTACTCGACTTGGGGTGTATACATTTGCCCTTATGCCCTTAGACGTTGTTGAAGTCACCCTGAAGCGGTCAAAGATTACGAGAAAACACATCATGACATCTCAGAATTTGACGCATTCCCTTGCATCAAGGGTCTTGGAAATACGAGAATGCCTGTCTCAACCAGTGCAATGGTTCCCAATCCTTAGTGAATTTGGACATGAGTTCCCAGCATGCGTCCCTGGACGGCCCCCATCTCCCAGGAACGCAACCATGGATGTTAGAGGTCTCCATTTGGAAGCATCGACAGAAGTGCAAGCATTGGCATTCCAGTTGCCAGAGAGCTTTGCATCTCATTCACTTTGCGAAAAGGCAAACAATGAAAAACAAAAACAATTGGGAGAAACATGAGCAAACTTTGCAAGTATGCAGGCATGCAGGCAAGCCAGTAAGCAGCCAACTAGGGTCGAGCCAAACCTGGCCAAAGTAGTTGAATGCCCACGGCTAAAATTAAGGCCTTCTTCACCTTTTGCAGTCTGAAAGCATGTGTGCTCAAACAAATCGGAACGTTGCAAGCCAAACGTCATCTAACAAATTAGAGGCTTGTCCTGATTCCTGGCTGGCAACTGTTGGGAGCTTTGCCGCTTTCAAAAGCGCAATGGTGTTCCTTCAAGATTCCGAAAAACAACAAACACAAAGCCTTTGGTTCCCGCGCAAATGTGTTTGTACTGTAAACGGGACCACGGTCTGGTTGTCTGAAGTATTTGTGACCAACCCTGTAGCGAAATCGTCAAAGGAAAACAATTCAAAAGGGCAGTGGTGCCCATTTACGATGACTGTGTACTATGCTCCAGTTACCCAGGATTGTGTCTCCATTCGGGCATCTTCTTTCTGGACCCCCCTTTTGGTTGTTGTTGAGAGCGAAATCAAAAAGAATCCAGCAATTTACGGGAGAAGGTGCTTCAAAAACGGAAATCGCATCATCCTTAAACAAATTAAAGAATCATGCACGCGCGGAGAGAGTTGCCTGTTGTAAAGCTCAGCCATCATGAATATGTACTCTGAGCATGAAGCACGTGAATCCAAGAAATCATCAAGAACCAAGAACCTGCGATGAGTCATGGGATTGCAACTGAACCGTGCCCAGGCACAATATAGGGTAGTGACATGCGTGGACAGACCAGGGTTGCCGAATTTCCACTGTTGATTGACCTTGCACAAATTTGCGCCGTTGCTGAAAATAACTCGATTGGTCCCCAAAAAGCCTTGGAAACAATTTGTGAATGTTCAATAACTTTTGTGAATGGCACAAACGCAAAACAACGCAGTGTCATTGCCAAAAAGCGCTGTTGGCAATTTCTTGCTGACCAGCTTGACCTGGCAAAAAGTCATGTTTCCCCGACAACGCCCGGAGGCGGAAATACCCGTTGCCATACTGAAAAAGCAGTCTTCTTTCAAAAGGCGGAACATTTACACACTTGATATGCCGGTGTCCCTTTTCTTGAAGCACCAACCATCGCGAACTAATTTCTGGCACCAGGCCCCCCGGGCGGCGACGCGTTTTTCCATTTCGGGCGCCTCCTTCGCCATGTCCTGCGCCAAACGCAGGGCGTGGTGCCAGCGGCTTGCCCGGGTCAACGCGCTCATCGTGCAGCTGCAGCTGGCCACGTCTGGCTCTACGCCTATGCACATCGAACCAAATGAACAGAACCGTCCAAAGGGACCCCCAGAAGGAGACTCCCCCAAAAACATTTGATACTACTCGTGGGTGAAATGTGCCCCCTGGAAAGGCGGTTCCCAGCAGCCCCCGGCGACACACTCTCGTGATTTTTTCTACGGGTCTGCGCATTCGTCCAAAGGCTCAACCGTGTACCCGGATAGGCACTGCTGACCCCTCATGTAGCCATTGTGCATTTAGATCCTGCCCTTTCCAAAGGACGCTAGATGAGCACGAAATAATAATTATGCACCTATCCAACCTGCACGTCTCGCAAATTCAGAGCAACTTACGGGTCGTTGCGGCTTCCCATGGTCCTCTTGGATGTCCTGTACCCACAGAAGGCTGCCATGCCATGTAGACTGAGGTCCTGATTTGAGGAATTTGGAGGTTTGCAAGCCCTTTTGAATCCTCTACACTAAGACTCGAGGCACCAACACCCATCCCTCTGATGGCGAATCTTTTGTCAAGGGGCCCTCTCGTAACAACACAAGCGGTCTAAAGAAGTGCTACCCCTGGCTTCGATTTCAAACATGCGTCGCGCTCCCAAAAATGAGCTGCTCTTGAGGGATGTCCTGACATCCATAGCCACCCCTTCATTTCCAAACGCACGGGCGACCATGTTGTCGCCTGCATGCTCCATGAGTGCCAGAAGGTGTGCCGCCAGCTCCCAGCAGGCAGCGCCTTTGCACCTGCGTCTCGAAAAGGCACGGCCCTTTTTCATTTCTCTGTATGTTTGTTTGCGTGGTTGGTTGGTTGGTTGGTTGGTTGGTTGGTTGGTTGGTTGGTTGGTTGGTTGGTTGGTTGGTTGGTTGGTTGGTTGGTTGGTTGGTTGGTTAGTTAGTGGTTGGTTAGTTAGTGGTTGGTTAGTTAGTGGTTGGTTAGTTAGTGGTTGGTTAGTGGTTGGTTGGTTGGTTAGTGGTTGGTTGGTTGGTTGGCTGGCTGGCTGGCTGGCTGGTTGGTTGGTTGGTTGGTTGGGGTAGGGTGGTGGGTTGGGTGGGTGGTTGGTTGGTTGGGTGGCTGGCTGGCTGGCTGGCTGGCTGGCTGGCTGGTTGGTTGGTTGGTTGGTTGGGTGGCTGGCTGGCTGGCTGACTGGCTGGCTGGTTGGTTGGCTGGTTGGCTGGCTGGCTGGCTGGCTGGCTGGCTGGTTGGTTGGTTGGGGTAGGGTGGTGGGTTGGGTGGGTGGTGGGTTGGGTGGTTGGTCGCTAGCTTGTTATGTGAGTTATATTATATACATTGTGTTACTATGAAGCAATGTATGAAATCGATCAAAACTGTTGGGCTGCTTTTTGCAGGTCGGTGGGCCTGGAGCCAGAACCGGTGTTCGATCCTGTTTGACCTCACCCGCTTGCCTTCTCAGGGCCAAATATGAGGCCCGGCAGAAAGCCAATTTCGAGTTTCGCTGCAGTGTACCCTCAATGTAGCTTGTTAGTTAATCAAGTAGTTAGTTGGCTGGTTTGTTTGTTTGTCTGTTTGCTTGGTTTGATTTGCTTGAATGCTTTTCTGGCTGCTGCTCTTCGAACGTTGCTAGAGGAGAACGACAAATACGAAATTTGTTCACAAACATCCGGTCTTCCGAGCAGCCTTCTGCAATGTACGAGCCTGCGCTCTTTCACTTGGCGATTAACCCAAGTTACCCCAGAAACTGCACACCCCAGTACTTTGCTCCAGCAGGTACTTTGCTGCATCTACTTTACCCATCCTCTTGCAGTAATTCGCTGACGTGTTCCGCCGGCCGGGTATTTTTGTCCCAGCGTTTGCGCAGACGGACTGGGTCCCTCGCCAAGCCACGCGTCCAAGGCCGCGTTGAAGCCTTGAAGGCCCAGCGTGAGGCGGCGCTGCGTCTCGTGGAAGACCTAGCGCCGAAGGAAGGGGAAACCAAAGGCACGTGATGTTTGTTAAACCCTACTGCGGATGGACGAAATCCTGCAATACTTTGACATGATTCCAGAGCTTCTCGGGTTTCTCATCATGGGCTCTCAAAAGGCTTACAAACCACTTACTAATTACCCTGCCCTTTAAGTAGAATCCTGGATGCATCCTACAAGGCGGTAAAACCCTCTGCCACCATCTTGGCTGCAGGCCCAGGTTGTGGATTCCGCGATAGAACCGACACCCACGGCCAAAGCCTGTTTCGCCAGTGTGGCCAACCAGCCCATCCGACAAGCGGGAAGGCAGCAAGCGAAAACCAAACATCCGAGCTGCAAGCTTCAATCGCCAATCACCAGCAGGGACTGTCCCCGCAAATGGACTAGGAACCCCTTGTTGGTTGGGACGGGAGGCCAACAAGAAACCAAACATTTAAATGGGCTCTTTGTGGTCACACTTTCCACACGTACGAGTATTTGCCTGGGCAAATGAAAACAAGGCACCCTCTATTTTTGATCATCTCCAGCAGGAAACCAAGTTGCAAACGGGGCAAAGGGTGCCAGTTGCTTCCCCGCACACTTGGTCGCGAATAATGACCCATATCCTGCAATCAGTCAGTCCCCCGTCTCCTTGGCCAGTTTCCCAGCTTTTTTCCGATTTCCACCCCCCCGCCTGTGCTAAGGAAGTTCACTTCAAAAGGGGCCAAAAGATGACCAAGGAAATCCACATAAGGAGCTAGAAAAGGGTGATATTTCTCACCGGGTCCATAGGATGCATCTGGGCCCGGAAAAGAACATCACCTTTAATTCAGAGGACCCCCTTATTTGGATGTATCCTTTGCGGAGCCCTGTTAAACTAAAGGCTTTGACCAAAGGTTTCATGGAGGAAGGGATGGTGGACATTTCCCTGTTTTGGTGTATTTTTCTTGACAACCAACAAGAACACCGAAGCCCATTTGGGGGAGTGGGGGTGCTAAGTCAAGACAGCTCTTGGGGAAAACACGGCCCCGAAAACGCGTCAACGCCATCGCCTCTAGGACCCGGCGCCACCCTGCCGCCGCGGTGGCTTGCGCCCGAGCCACCGCGTTGTAGCCGTAGTCACTGCTCTGCAACCCCCGGGCGGCGAGGTCGCGGAGCAGACAGCAGGCCTCTTTGGGACTGCGAGGGTCTGGTGCTTTGGACTGTTTACAAGGTGATTGGTTCATAAATGAGCCGCTATAGAAATACTTTCCGAGCGTATACCCTGTTTTCGGCTGATTCTTGACACCTAAACTGAAGCCACAGTTTCGGGGGCCTCACACACTCCTCATAAGGGGGCAGGTCCCTTTTTCTGTCGTTGGGGGCACAGCATGGCCATAACGTGTCTTCATGCTTGATGAGTCCTGCTGGCCTTTGATGCACCTTAGTGCTCGTTGGTTGAAACACGCGTTTGGGGTTCCCGGGATCTAACCATGTTAAAACCATGGGCGCTTTGTTGCCCCACTTTGGTGGTGGCTGCGATAATACCACTCCAAACCACGGGTGAGGTTTACAACCCTCTTTATAGCCAACACAAATCCAACCCCCCCAACCCCCCCTAGCCGTACCTCGCCTCTCGCCAGCCCAGTGCCGTGAGGGCCGTGTCGCCGCTGCAGGCGTCACCGTGCTGCTGCAGCAGCAACGCCCTGCGCCAGGCGCGGCGCTTGGCGCACGCGCCCAGCGCCACATTGCACGCCACCTGAGAATGGCCAAAACGCTTGGCCGCGAAACGGGCGAAACGAGTTGGTAACGTGCTCCCCTCGTTTGTTTTGGTTTCGTTTCGGTTGTTGGGCAATGCTTGACATCGCCAATGTTAAGGTACCTTCTGAGATACCTAAACTCAGCAGACTGGCGACTTTTCAAGTGCCAGGCAGGCTCTGAAGTCCTAGCAATGTGGCGTGTTCAATACCCGTGAGCCCGATGCAGAAAAACCAAACGTCTCCTCAGCTCCGAACATCAACTTCCACCCCGCCGCCTGCAACTCTGCGCAAGCTGGGCAAGCTCAAGCCCTGCAAGTCCTCTTCAAAGGAATAACCAAGCGTCAGGCTTTGCAAGGTGCTCGGAAAGTTCACCCCCCGTAAGCTTTGGTTAAACCACACTCCAAAGTCTAGGCTCTGCAGGGCGCAGGGCAGATCTACCCCCTGCAAAGGTTGATCGAAGTCATCGCCAAACCTCAGGGCCTGCAAAGCGCTGGGCAAAATCACTCCCTGCAAGCATTGGTTGAAGTTGTTGCCAAATGTGAGGCTCTGCAGCGTGCTGGGCAAATGCACTCCGTACAAGCTTTTATCAAATTCATTGCCAAACGTCAACTCCTGAAGCTTGCTGGGCAAAGCAACTCCCTGCAGGCTCTGGGCAAAGTCATTGCCAAACCTCAGCCTTTGCAGCGTGCTGGGCAGAATCACGCCAACCAAGCTTTGGTCAAAAGCCCTGCCAAATGCCAGGCTCTCCAGTGTTGCCGGGAATGCTACACCCTGCAAGGTCTGGTCGAATTTGTCGCCAAAGGTGAGGCACCGCAAGTTGCTGGGCAGACTTACTCCCTGTAAGCTTTGGTTGAACCACTGGCCAAACGTCAGGATTTGCAGGGAGCTGGGCAAAGTGGCGCCCTGCAAACTTTGGTTAAAGCACTCCCCCAAGGTTAAGCTCTGCAGGGCGCTGGGCAAAATCACTCCCTTCAAGCTTTGGTTGAAGCCCTCCCCAAAAGTCAGGCTCTGCAAGGTGCTAGGCAGGTTCACTCCCTTCAAACTTTGGTTGAAATGATTTCCAAACGCCAGGCTCTGCAAAGTGTCTGGTAGAGTCGCTCCCTGTAAGCTTCGATCGAAGCGGTTGCCAAATGTAAGGCTGTGCAAGCCGCTGGGTAGAGTGACTCCTTGCGTGCGGTTGAAACATGCGCCAAGTGTCAGGCTTTTCAGAGTACTGGGCAAATTTTCCCAGCTTTGGTCAAAGTCATCTCCAAGTGTTAGGCTCTGCAAGGTGCCTGGCAAGTTCACTCCCTGCAAGCTTACGTTGAAGCGATTGCCCAAAGTCAGGCTCTGCAAAGAGCTTGGCAAACTCACTCCTTGCAAACTCTGATTGAAGCCAGTGCCAAAAGTCAAGCTCTCTAGGGCGCTGGGCAAATACACTCCTTGCAAGCTCTGGACAAACTGACTGCCAAACTGCAGGCTCCGCAGGCCACTGGGCAAGCGCACGCCATGCAAACTTTGGTTGAACCACATGCCAAACGTCAAGCTCTGCAAAGTGTATGGCAGAGTTACTCCTTGCAAACTTTGGTCAAAATCATCACCGAATGTTAGGGTCAGCAAAGTGCTGGGCAAACTTACATCCCGCAATGTGTGGTTGAAGCTGTCACCGAATGTGAGGCTCTGCAGCGTGCCTGGCAAATTCACGCCAAGTAAGCTGTGGTTGAATTTCTTGCCAAACACAAGGCTCTGCAAGCTGCTTGGTAGATCGAAGCCCTGCAGGCTTTGATGAAAGTCATCACCAAACACTAGGTTCTGAAGGTTGGCTACATCCAAACCCTGCAAGCCTTGATTGAACTTGCTGCCAAAAGTCAGCCGTAACAACTGCGGCAGGTTTATCCCTTGTAAGGAGTGGTTGAACTTCTTGCCAAAGGTCAGGCTGTGCAATGAACTGGGCAGAATCAGTCCCTGCAAGCTTTTGTTGAGATCATCGCCGAAGGTCAGGCTCTGCAAGGTGTCTGGCAACCCCAAGTTCGCGAGCGAGTCAATGGCATGTCTCTCCCATCTCAGCCTGGTGATCCCTTCCAGAGATTGATGGTTGCCCTCCAGACCCCCTGTCAAAGCTCCCCAGGCCTCCAAAAGATTGGCTTGGGTGTAAGTAAAAACACCCTCCAATGGCAAGTCTTGGTCCCTCCAGCTGCGGTGTGGAAGAACTCGGTCGCCTGCAAAGTGCAAACTCAGCACGCAGCCGGGCTTCGCGGGCAGCTGGGACTTGACGAGCTGCAGCAACTCACTGCCCAGGATGTCAGGTGCCACCTCCAAGCGCAGCTCTCGGCCATCCAGGCCACAAATGCTCAGCTCCACCAAGCCGCGCTCCATACGGGTGGCATATGACCAAAACAGCTGGAGTGGTGACTCAGTGGTGACTCAGTGGTGACAGTGCTCAAAGCTTTGGCAAAAAGGAGCGACGTGATTAGATTGGTGATTGCACAACTGAGCTGCAGCCATGAAGGAAAAGTCGAAGCAGCGGCAAAGAGCGAGGTGGCATGTGGACGCTATGGCAAGGCTCGGGGAAGTGGAAGCACATTTTGCACAGCATCTATAGGTGACGTTGCATGATATGATTTGCAGTTGCCGCGGAAGCACGGAAAGTCCCACGTTAAAGGTGAGAACTAGCAAGCAAGGGTCATATGTCATATGGGTTGCAACCGTGCAACCCTTGTCATTCTGCCAAACGCCAAGACCGTACAAACAACTGTGTCATGGGGCACCATGTCTGACTGGGATAGCTTGTGACATTGGCTCAAATGAGACCTTGGCTTCGGATGCACTCGCGGCTCTGTGACTCGGAGCTGACGAAGTTGACCGGGATTCACCACAAGCCGTGTGTGTGCACACATGGCCCAGCAGCCGCGCCTTGTTCTCCTCTTTTGGTTGGCTTTAAAGGGAACCCCGGGTGGAATGGTGATTGGTGCCACTATCCTTGCGCATTAGTCGAACCAGACCTGGCCCACATCCAAACCAGGGCTCTCTCCACAAAGTATTCAGGCAAGAAAACCGGAGTCCGCTCTCAGCCAAGCACCGTACGAGCCACGAGGGCTGTCAACAAATTGTGTTTCTGCCTTTGTTCTCCTTTGCTTTATGTGGTCTGGACAGGACACAAGCGGTTTCCACACGGGGGACATCGGACTTTGCAAGAGATGGGCATACATCCAACTGGGACGCTCGCTTGATGTTGCCACAAATCCAAAAAACGGTGACCTTTCGAAGGGTCCATACCAGCGTTCCATGTATAGATGTGGTTATTTGACTTGCACATATTTAGGGAATGACGTGGTTGTTGTTTGAACTGAACTGCTCCTTCAAAAAACAACATTTTTTTAGGGGGTGGCTCAGATGTGTTTCTTGCAACCCGAGGGAACTCCTCGGAATTCCCGAAGCGCCGCGCCGAAACGCGCCGAGGTGCCACGTTCAGCTCCACGTTCTCCAGCTCCAAACCTCTCAGGCGCGCCAGGCCCCGCTGCCACTGCGCCGAGCGCGCGGCGGATTGAACCAGCACGGACCCGTGGAAGGCATTCACCTGCCGAGGGATCGAGATCCCCCGGAAATGGATCCGCAAGCAATAGGATTGTGGTACGATCACTCGGGGAAGCAACCCAAAAACGTTTTTATTTAAAGCAAGCCCCAAAACGGTAAAGGTCAAGCCTGGACGAATCCTTTCCCTCAAGCAACGCAAGCCTGTGTCCAGGTGAGTCTGTCAACAATTGTATAGTCTTTGGGTCCTTATCCGTTTTCCTCCATCCGATCAAACACAGTGCGCCAAAGGGGCGTGCTCTTTACACATGTCTGTGGCTGTGGCGGGTTGCTGTCGCTGTAGAATTGGGCGTTGGCCTGGAAACCTGCACCGCCGCAGTTTCTTTATGAGAGTGAATTGACCATCCCTGGCTCAAAGTGACTCTGTGTCAAAACTAACTCTGAAGCCACACAAACACAAGCCCCCACCCCCACCACACACACACACAGGCACACACCACCCGCCCCCAGACACGCACACGCATTCGCGCACACCAACCCACCCACAAACACCCCGCACCCGCGCTCGCATGAGCAAAAGCACGCTCTCATGCCAGCTCGCCCATATGCCAGTGCCGCGCATGCGCCGCACACAAACACACAAACACACACACGCACGCACGCACGCACGCACGCACACACACACACACACACACACACACACACACACACACACACTTGAACTCCAAATGGAGAGTGCTAATCTTTCGAGTACAACTGATGAGTCTCGAGTACAACTGGTGAGTCTCGAGTAGGTGTAGGCTCTGCTCGCAATGCACTCGGTTTCCCTTTAGTGTCGAAACCGTTACGAGATTCAACATGAAGCACACACAGCGAGAAAACAACGGGCCAAAAGGACATTGCACAACAGGTGTGGGAAGTGGCCAACTCCGGTATCCCGTCTTGCTGCCTAGCTTTGTTAGACCAGGTCAGCAGCAAGACGCCTGGTCCCCCTGCTGATAAACCGAAATGGTGGTGACAGGGCATTCTGTCACTCCGCACACACACGCCCCTCAATGAGGGGCGAGGAGTCACTTTTTCCGAAGGAAGATCACATGCTCAACTCCGTGTCCCTATCGTTGACCAAAAATTCCACCGCGGCGAGGGGAACGAGAAACAGCCCTTAACCGCTCAAAAGACGGGAACAAAAAGTCACCACGTTGAGCATTACGAGTGTCGCCATAGAGGACTGAAGTGAGTTGTGCAGCAGTCGAGCGATCACCATGAGAAAACGGAGTGGCATAGGGGAACGTCTCCTCAACTGGAATTGCATCGGAATTCCGCACATTTCCAAGTGCTGGATCTCGGGCATGATGTGTAGTGAAGGACTCCCTTCGAGACAGAATGCGTTGGTATCCTTGATGCTGCCAGTCGCGAATCGTCCATGCCTGACCGTGTTCACCAAACCCACCACTGGGATCAGTTTCCCGCTTCCACTCCCGAAAAGAGTTGTCTGGTAGATCAGGTACGGTTTCACCGGGTTGCCATAGCTGAGTCTGTCCTGGAGTGTAGATCCGCACCCACTCCTGATCCTGCCAGACCGAGTATTCGAGCCATGGGCGCTGCTTCGAATCCTCGATGTCCATGTCGAAGTGAGAGGCAAAGCGTATCGCGGGCTCCGATCCAGCTGATAAAGGAACATGCACGATGCACAACCATGTACAAGCAACAACCAAGCAAGGTCACGCAAGCGTCAAAACTACCCTTATTTTGTCCGCTACCCTACTCGCGTGCATCTAGTCCTCATTTAGCTCGAAGATAGGTTTCGCCTTGGCTTTGCAGCTGTCGGAGGAGTTAACAGGCCGGTATGGCTCAGAGATCCCCACCGTCTCTGGTGGTGCAACTCCCCGTGATGCACGTACAGGTTGATGAAGTTGGGAAGCGTGATGCGCACGAGTCGTCAGCTGCTGAGAAATCCCTTCTTGGAGGCGAGTGAGCTCTTCGGTAGAGAAATCCGCCGCATCCGAGGATCTAAGGATCGCGTCCAACAACTGCGGTGACATACTCAATGGTGTGGATTGCGTGGCCACGCTGTGTTGATCAGGAAAAGACATAGAATCAAAGTCATGACCTGTTTGAGGGGCGGCGACTCTCCGATAGCCCTCTGTGGCCCAGTCTCTTTTGTACCACTTGGTGACATTGAGCTGTCCACCGTCTTGGTGCGGGCCGTGATCATAGAACTCCTTCCACTCTCGATACGTGTGCGGAGGAGGTGAGCATCATGCTCTTCATGTGGAGTCCATGATCCCGGATGAAAGATCTTGACCCACTGGGCATCTGGTTGTTGAGGATCCGGACACCATTCTAGCCATGCCATGACACCGCAAACCCGGAAAGACAACTTGATATGTGTACGGCTTCAGACAACAATTGCTGAAAGAAACACAACTGCCGCAGTGCAAGAAATCACTTTTGCAGCAATGCACGGCTCCGAAATCGAAGTCAATCTCCCGCATTTAATTGAACTGAACAGACTCCCCAGGATTGCGAAAACGAGCATCAGCCACCATCCGAGTTGGAGGATGCCGATGAAGAGGTCAAACCAGCGTACATGAGGTCCGGTGCGCCCGAAGCGAAAACTGGCCGCGCAATGCTAGGATGTGGGCGACCCAGCCGTTGGTATCCCCTGGTGACCCAGTCTCTATAATACCAAGTATAGAAGGATGCATAAGACACCGGCTGCGAAACAGCACCTGCATTGGTGCCGCCTGTGCTATCCCTCGGCCAATACACCTCGAAGTGGAAAACCTTACGCCATTCCCGATAGGTGGTTGTGTCATCCGGGGCTGGTCCCAAGGTGTTCTCGGCGACTGGATGCCACGGACCGGGAACATAGATCCGAATCCATTCCACTCTCGTATTCGCGGGGCCATTGACGATGTCGTAGTCAAAGTAGCGAGGTAGGACCCAACGTGCTGCGCCATACATTGTACAATTGAACATATCAACCAGGCAAACCGCTCAGGGTCAAATGAGAGCGGCAAACAGCTGAAGGCGGGACACACAACACCAAGCAAGACAACCCAACATGGAATCGCATGCAAAGCAAGCACAACCGCGTCAATTTATCCGACATGTTGCTCCAGTATCACCCCGACTCGTTCCAAGGATCATAGAATGGTGGTGGTGACGGTTCACGCCATGCCCCATCCGGAACCGATGAGTCCGCCGAGGAATTGTCGTCTGCATTCACGAGCATCGCGAGACCAATGGCTGGTACAGGAGCTCCAAGTCGTTGATACCCTCGTGTTTGCCAGTCTCGGTACTCCCACACGTGGTAGGACACATACGAACTATGCGTGACAATGGGATCCGTTGTTGTTCCTCCGGTGCTGTCTTCGGACCAGTACACTTGGAAGCGATATGACCTGCGCCACTCCCGATACGTAGAAGCGTAGGTCGGTGCGAGCACTGGAGCATCATCAGGAACGGGTCGCCACGTGCCCGGTGAGTAGATTCTAATCCATTCCACTCCTCTGTCGATCTGGTACTCGAAATAGTGAGGGTTCATAGCGGCAAGACAAGCTATCGCGCGGCCGCTTCAAGCAAGCGAAAATCTGCGGTTAAAACACACATGCCATGACAACCGCGCTCAGCTGACGGAATGCAAGGCAACTTTTCAAACTCAAGGTGAGACACAGCAGCGAGGTTTGTAATATACGGCCCCTAAGCTTCATCGCCATTGATGCCGTGCACACCTGCAATGATAATGTCCTGGTCGTCTACGAACACAAGGGGAAAGACATTTCCGCCCATTGTGCAGGAAGGCATGACAGTAATGCTTGCAATTTGCCGATGGGGACAGCGATTGACGGCCAGCTCGTTTGGAGGGAAACACGGTAAACGGCCGCCGAGATCGCCTCGGTGCTGAAGCGGATGCTGTCCGAGATCGTTTGAGTGAACGCCCTGGACTGTGTAGCTCTTCATCACGGGAATGGTCAGTGCTGTGGACCGAGCGGCGTGTGCGCTGCGATTTCGATGTAGCAGGGCATGATTGTCCACGAGGAGCTGAGATCGAGGGGCTCCGTACTGAGGGCATAAACTGCGGGTGTAGAATCACCGGTGGTGGTGGTGGTGGAGGAGGCGGGGGTGGCAGAAGCAGTGGGAAACTTGGCGGGGGCGGAGGCGACGTAGTCTGCCGAATGGGTCTGTCCAGCAGGGCTCCAGGTCCGTGAAACTGTAACCACGTCGGCTGCGCTCCATGGGTCCAAGTAATGTACGTCTGTACGACTTGTTCCGACATGTTTTGAGCAACTCAGTCATGAATGCAATTCACGTAAGCGGCAACACCCACAACGGCATGCAAAATTACCCTGATACAATGGCACTCAAGTGAAAGCAACCTGCAACACTAGCCAAATACACCGCCTCGGCCGACCATTTAGTCCTCCTGTGGTCGCTGCTGCATTTGATGACCGGGTTCCTACCCGCGGGCCTCAAGTTGCTGATAGACCTTCCATGCCTGCTTGACTTCCTCAATGGGCTTCAGAAGGAACCGAGCGATGGTTTTGTACGTGGGCCTGGAATCCTTGTCTTTCTTCCGTCGCACCATCTCATCCAGCTCACCCTGTGTCCATGCCGTGAAAGGTTCACGGTGTGCATTGCGAAGTGCGATGGTGAATTCTTGTAGAAGTTCGCGAGGTCCATGAACCACCGTAGGAGACGGTCTGAACGACGAGGCATCTGGATGTGGACGCACGGAACCATCAGAATCCGAGTCAGGTGTTGTAGGCGTCATCTGTCCTGGTTCTCGTCCGCCGTGTGGGGCTGAGGGGGCAAGTGGCCGTGGTGATGGCAAGTGATCCAACATCGATTCAGGCCGACGACCAGAATTGTTGTCGGCGGCATCTCGATGTGCCGCACGGGGCGGGGATAAGGCCGGTATATACCAGGTTGAGGAAGTGTCCAGAGGGCGGGCTCGAAGTCGAGTAGGAGAGCGGGATCGGTCAGACGAAAGGCGCTCTGTGATGATGCGAGGGCGCAGGCCGTGCCTGGAGTTCCGTGGTG